TATGGTTAAAGTGTTACACTGATGGACCCAATGGACCACCAATAGACCATCAATGGACTGCACATTTGCCAACCCTGCATTACAACACTTTGCAAATTTAAATTGGATGATGTAAGTGTTGGGTTCAATAGGAAAATTTTAATATTACATTGAATTGATCTTATTGAATTTTTTAGTCTGGAGGTCCCAGTTTATGCTTCAAAAACTTTGGATTAAATCATGCACTTGAAAAAGTTCTTGATGGGAAGTTTGCAGATATTTTGGCACAGACAAAAGAAGAGCTATTTGTGGGTGAACAAGCTGGTGCCCCAACAAATCCTGATCTTACAAAATATGCTACTGACTGGTTTAAATTATATAAAGAATTATGAGATTGTTTAAATTTGAGGATATTACAAGCAATGAAACTAGGAGATATCAATTATAATGGGTTACTTATATGAAATGAAAATGACAATTATGTGGAAAGATGGTATTTATATTTATGAAGAATTTGGTAGTTTTACAATAGCATCATGATCCACCAAATGAAAGCTAGAATTATAAAACTTCTTGAATTTATGGTAAGTCTTGTTTATTATCACTCATAAAACTATCTTATTAAAATTTTTATCTGACATATTCTTGATCATTGTTTTGCAGATGATTATAAAGAAAGAGTCATCCAAAATTCGACATTTCAGTTTTAATGGTGAAGAAGTACAAATTTTAAAAAGAAAATTCCAAGAAATAATAACTCAAATGCAAGAATCACCACCTAAAAGACCAAAATCAAAGGTTGCAGCTAAATGTGATGATGTATTTAATATCTGCCTTTTCATATTTCCATCCCTCCTCCTTCAACTTTTTCTTCAACTCCTTCAACTTGTTCAATTTCTCCTCTGCTTTCCTCAACCTTTTTTCTGCCTTTCGGAGCAGAAATTAAAGAATTCTTTTGACAAAGCAGTAAAAATAGCCTTAGTCAAAGCCAAGTAAGAGAAGAGTTGGCAGATTCTTAAAATATAAAAAAAAATTTTTTGTATCTATCAGTCAATTGGTATTTCTCAAAATTATAGGACTTGCAATTTATTAAATTTGCAAATTAAAATTTCTATAAGTTCATTGTTTTCAACAATCTTTCTTTCTTTATTTGAATTCTTAAAAGATTTAATTCGTGATCCATCAATGAAGGAAAGGATCAACATAGTAAAATTCGGGGATAAGTATCATAGTAAAATCTATTA